ATTATAGCTTTAAATATTGTTGTTGATACTAAGATTGTTAATATTATAAGTGCTTATGTGCTCCTCAAGTAGGTTTTGATATGAGTTCAAAATTAAAATTTTGAAATGACTTAGAAGAGTTAATATAAAATATACCTCTTGAAGAAAGATTTTTTATTAGAGGAGATTTAAACGGACATATTGATAGAGAGATTGATGATTTTAAAAGCATCCATGGTGGCCATAAATTTGAAATGACAAATAAATGTGGTAAAACTATATTAGATTTTTCTTTAGCTTATAATTTCTTAATAGTTAATACATTATTTAAGAAAAGAGATGAACATCTTATCACTTATAAAAATGGATATAGTAAAATGCAGATTGATTATTTTCTGATAAGAAAATTAGATCATTTAGATTGTAAAGTTATTCCGAGTGAAAATTAATGTACTCAACATCGATTATTAGTTTTGGACTTTAAGATAAAGGAACAAAAAATAAAAAATAAAGTAAAACGCTTTTCTAAGATTATATGTGGGCATTTAAAGAATATTAACAAAAGTATTTTTGAGAGTAAGATTTTAAATCTTAAGATTTTGACTGTGCATGAGGATGCCAATATTATGTTGGAAAAAATGATTTGTGATATTAAGAATATTGCAAAAGATGTGCTTGGAGTTTCAAAGGGAAAAACTCCTAATAGTAAAAATAGTTGGTGTTGGAATACAAATGTGCAAAAAAAGATAAAAAATAAGAAGATTTGTTATAAAAATTAGTTTATATGTAAAAATTCAGAAAATTCGAAAAGCTATAAAAAGGCTCGTAAGGAATCTAATAAAGATATTTGTGATGCAAAAAACTCATCCCGCCAATTTCACTTAATCTGAAATTTAATTTCAGATTTCCATTCTCTCTCCCCAAATTGATTTGGGATTTAATTAATCTTGCCACCTAGGCAAGTAAATGGCATGTACGTTTCACATCAAAAAAAGATTTAGTTCAAGAGAAGTGTATTAAGGATAAAGATCAAAAAGTACTTTTTTTTAGAAGATGATATTCAACAAAGGATTCCAATAGAGATGTGGAAATGCTTAGGAGATGAATGAATTTCTTGGCTTACTAAACTTTTAATACTGTTTTGAAGACTAAAAAGATGTCAAATCAGTGGAGAATGAGTGTGTTAATTCCTATTATTAAGAATAAAGGTGATGCACAAGAGTATGTGAATTATAAAGAAATTAAGTTAATGTGTTATACTTTAAAACTATGGGAGCGAGTTATGGAGCATAGGTTGTGGCGTGATACTAATGTTTCTCAAAATCAATTTGGATTCATGTCGGGTAGGTCTACTATGGAAGCCAATAAGTCATACATTTATTGAGAGGTTTGATGGAAAAACATAGAGGATAAGAAGGATCTACATATGATATTTATTGATTTAGAGAAAGCATATGATAAAGTTCCAAGAGAAGTGTTATGAAGAGTTCTTGAAAAGAAATGAGTTAATAATACTTATATTCAAATTATTAAAGATACGTATGCATGAGCTATTACTTGTGTTCAAACACAAGGTGGTTTAACCAAGTTTTTCCTATTTCGGTTGGATTACATCAAGGATCAGCCTTAAGTCCATATCTTTTTGCTTTAGTCATGATATTGTTACTAGACATTTGCAAGAGGATGTACCTTGGTGTATGCTTTTTGCTGATAAGATTAGAGAGGTAGTTGAAGGTCAACTTTAGAGTCTAAAGATTTTCGCTTGAGTAGATCTAAAACTGAATATATAGAGTGTAATTTTAGTAGCAATAGACCTACTGAGTGGATTGTGACTTTGGGTGATCAAGTCATTAATAAGAGTACACGTTTTAGATATCTAGGATCTATTATTTAGAGTGATGGTGAACTTGATGGGGAAATTATCAGCAAAATTCAAGTTGGATGGTTGAAGTGGAGGAATGCATCAAGCTTATTGTGCGATAGAAAAGTCCCCCTCAAACTTAAGGGAAAATTCTATAAGATGATGGCGAGACCTGCAATGCTTTATGGTGCCGAATGTTGGCCATTAAAAGAGAAGCATAATAGTAAGTTAAGTGTTGCATAGATGAGGATGCTTAGGTGGATGAGTGGCTTGACACTTAGAGATAGGATATGAAATGAGCATATACGTGAATATGTTGGAGTAGCTCCAGTGGAAGATAAGATTAGAGATAGTCGCCTTAGATGGTTTGGTCACATTAAACGGAAGCCTTCCGATGACCCGGTTAGGAAAGTTGAGGTATTAGATTTGACTTATGTTAAGGAAGGTACATGTAGACCTAAAAAGACTTGGTTATAAAATATTAGAAATGATCTTTCTTTATTAGATTTAAAAGAGACTTTTAACAGGATATAATG